ACGTTGCGACCGGATGACAGCGTGTAAGCGTTGAGGACGCGATGATCATGCTGAATAGTCTCTCGAATACGTGAGTAAGCGAACGGAAACGGGTAGTGAATCGGTGTCTCTGACTCGAGTATGCTTTGCATTGTTGTGCGTATGACCGGCGTGGTACCCTTGGAGAAGCGAAGGATCGGACCACCTAGGCTGAGCCTATGGCGTCCCTCGAATGGGCATGGCAGGTGTAGGCTGAGCTCGATAAGAGACTTTACCGTAGGTGGTGCTCATCTAGGGTGTGATTAGCAATTCCACTTTAAACTAAGCCGCTGCCGAGGCGTTCCCGGAAGTTTCTACGCTAGGGGAGCCCCTATACTCAGGGAGATAGAGTGGCCTTCTCTATCTAGGGAGTACGCGGGAGACCAGGCTGATGTATTTCGGCCTGTTAGCCCTTTGCTTGCGGCATTCGACCCGATGCAAAATGCGGGCCCGACAATTCGGAGTGGACAAGCGGCGAGCGATGTTGTCTCGGCCCTTAGGGGCTGGGTTGCCTCTACACCAATGCTGCGACGGTAACACTATTCCGTCTTATGTGGAGGTGGGTCAGCTCTCATCTTGAGAATGAAAACGTCCGATAAGGCCGAAAAGGCCAGGTGCGGATGCTAAAGATCCTCTTGTCTTGTTGACGATGAGTTCTCGGGAACGGAATGACCGGTTAGTAGTCCTACCATTCCTCTGAGTCTGGTCTTCTTAATTACAGCTGTATTTTCCTCTTGGTGTGGGTTGTTTTAGCATAAGTTTACTGTGTTTAGCGCCCCTAGAGTTCATCCACTTCTCATTTTGTTTTATTTGGATATGTACAGTCTTTGATGGAGGATTGTGTGTCTTTGTTGTATCCTGCAGATGGGATCATCGTTGTATATACCCATGTTGTGCAGATATTTTCTCAGATGGCAGTGACCGGTTAGTAGTCCTGCCACTCCTCAGAGTCTGGTCTTCTTCAATTACAGCTGTATTTTGCCCGTAGTGAGGGTTGTTTCAGCATAAGTTTACTGTGTCTTGCGCCCCTAAAGTTTATCCATTCTCATTTTGTTTTATTTGGATATATACAGTCTCTGATGGAGGATTGTGTGTCTTTGTTGTATCCTGCAGATGGGATCATCGTTGTATATGCCCATGTTGTGTAGGTGTTTTTTCAGATGCCAGTGACCGGTTAGTAGTCTTACCACTCTTCTGAGTTTAGCCCTCTCCAATTGCAACATGCCAGTCTTGGTGAGGGTTGTTTCATCATAAGTTTACTCTGATAATATTGAGTAAATCCTCATTGAATTAGTGATGAATATTTACTTGCAAATTATGAGAAATTTGCTGGAATTTTTAGTAGTCATTTTTAAAAGGGTGAACATGAGGTGCACTTTATTATGTGAAATTTATTGCAGAACGTTTCAAAATTTCGTCGTATGTGTTATTCAACGAGCATTAAAGTCATGTTGCATCTGAATCGTGGAACGACAAGGATGCATTATGGATGGGGTGCGCGTTTTTCGCTCAAGGTGTAAATTTTCCCAAAAATTGGCAAACGGTAGAAAAGTGAACAATCAGTTCCAGCGAGTCCGAATTTAAATATGAGCCGAGGCTCGCCGGTTTTATAAAATGTTGTTTTATCAGTCGGACTCCTAGTTCGTTAAACAAGCATGGGGAAAAAAGGCCTGGTCGCTCCGGTTGGAAAAACAGAATTTAACATTTTTGCAAATATGTTTACACGGCCGGAATGGGATGCACCGTCGCACAAGTTGCCTGGGATGGCAAAACATGTTTAGAGAATGTAAATGCCCGTAGGATTGGTTATGCATACGTATCCACGTCCGTAGGAAAACAACAGAGAAGGAGTGATTGATTGAGTGACCCCGGTTGCGTCATTCAAGATGAAGTGAGATTGATGACGTCCGATAGGCGAAAACCCTCATGTGTTTGTTGGCCCGAATCTTACACTAGCCCTAAGGAAATATTTTCCCAGCGTTAAATCACAGACTTAGGATTTTCTGCTTGAAAAATGCTTTAAAATTTTCTAAGGGGTGTTTTACCTATTTTGTTCATCCAGAATACTAGATGTAATTTTCGAGTCGGGTAATTTATAATATAGCACTATTGTAATAATTCTACACCATCAAAATTACATATCAAACTTTATAAGCATGGCTCAAATCTAAAAAGACTTTTTATTATGGATAAAAAATATCGCAATAATAAAATGCAATTGGATGAGATCACCAAGTTGATTCATAACGCGTCTCTGTTAAATAGAGGCCTCGGACCTTTCAGGCCACCCTCCTTTCCATTTTTTCCCCCTTCGTGACGTTCGGCGGTCATTTATTTCATCAGTGCCACGTTTGCGACTAAAGACGGCGACAATAACAATTTGGTGGGTCGTGGAGTTAACAGTTGGACATGTTTGTTTACAATGGGGAGAACGGGAAAGTTAGTCGTATTGTGATGGAGCAGCTGCCGGGGTGCGCACCCCTTCCTTTTCTCGACCGGTGACACTGGCCCACCATCAAACCATCCATCACCCTTCTTGCCCACGCCTACCGCGAACGCCAACTGTTTTCAAACAAGGTTCTCGGGGCAAAAGCAGAAAAGTTTCAAGACTTGAAACTTGAAATTTCACCCTTCGTATAAAGAAATGGCGTTGAAATAAACAATTCCCGTGAAATATATCGCGTCAGATTTATCGACTCTTCCTTGGTACATGAGATTTGATTTGAGAATCATGATCTGACAAGTCGGTTTCTGTTTTAGGTTTTAGATTTATCCCCAGACATCTCTATGTATGTAGTTCATTAGCCACAACTCTTTTAATAAAAACTACTTTTTCTTATCTTTTGAATCATACAAAAATCATGAGGAGCTCCTCGATTTCAGTTAGTATGGACGTCCGATCCGTGAAGCGTGTCGAGAATCCTTATTAGAACAAATAAAAACATACAAGCGTATGTGAATTGGCAAATTTCCCACACTGTTCAAAATGAGAAAATTGCAGTTGCAAGTGGAATAAAGAACCCCGATGAAAATTTGCACCTTAAAAACTTGCTGAAAAAAGAGTAAACCCAATAAACATTTTACACATCACCATCCTTAATTAAAACATAACAAAGCTTAATTGCCACTAAAAATCTAAATGTATATATATAACTTCTAACTTACTAACTTAACACTTCTCATCTAAATATATATAACTTCGGGTTAACTCGTCTTTTCTATTCAATTTTGTAAGTTGTGTGTGTGTGTGCGTGCGCGTGCGTGAGATAGATAGGTAGAGAGAGAGAGAGAGAGAGAGTGAGAGAGTGTGAAAGGAGGAAGGGTGAAATAGTGGTGGCAGAGAGAGTAAAAAGAAAAATAGAAATTTATCATCTCACATGCAACCGGGCTTTGGCAGTCCGTGGTCATACCTAGATTTTAATCGACCCTTCATCCAAAGACTCCTCTCACATGCTTGAGCATATCAGCTTCTAAAGAATATAACTTTTTACCTAAACCAATCACACTCTCACGCACTTTTAAATACATTTTTTCCTATTTTTCTCCAAAACTGGTCTGGACGTGCTCCGGCACAATTTTCATATCGGTTGGCATTCCAACACGCTCTCCCTATGGAACCAAAGAGTGAAATCCTTCAATTAAACAGGAGCAACCCTTTCTCTATCTAATGCACAAACGCCGGATTTGGGCCGAAAGTAACTGTGTGCCAACTTGGCCTATGCTTAGTCGGATTAGTATCTATTTTCCATTCATTTCCTCCGGAGGCCACCAGCAGAACGATCTCTTACGTGGGAAATTCTCTTGCGATCCAGCCTTTTTAAAGCTATCGTCAATGTTGATGTACACTTGATCTTGCGAGATGTTGTGACGTACCTCAAAACTAAAAGGAATTTATATTTATTATTATATACTAACTTCCGGTTAACTCATTTTTTTAATTCAATTTTGTAAGTTGTGTGTGTGCGCGCGCGCGTGAGATAGATAGATAGAGAAAGATCGATAGATAGATAGATAGATAAATAGAGAGAGAGAGAGAGAGAGAGAGAGAGAGAGAGAGAGAGCGAGTGAGAGGGAGGGAGGGAGAAGGAAAGAAAGGGGAAACAGTGAAATAGTGGTGGCAGAGAGAGAGAGTTAAAAGCAAAATTGAAATATATATATATCTAAATATATGGATAAGGCGATAAATAAATACACTTATAAAAATAGACCAGAAAGAGAGTATTGTAATTCAGATTTGTAAATAAAAATTCATTCAAGTACTCATTTAAATATAAAAAACGATATATAGATGAACATAAAGTATAGAATGAAAACAAAAGAGAGAGAAAGTAAACAAGAAAGAGAAAGAGAGACAGTGTACAAAGAAAACAAGAGAGAGAGAGAGAGAGAGAGAAAAAGAGAGGAGAGAAAGAAAACAAAAGGGAGAGAGAGAGAGAGAGAGAGAGAGAGAGAAAAGAAAAGAGAGGAGAGAAAGAAAACGAGAACGATAGTAAGAGAGAGAGAGAGATAGAGAGAGAGAGAGTAGAGAAAGAAAACAAGAGAGGAGAGAGAGAGAGAGAGAGTTAAATTAGTGTAGTTTATTAATCTAACTTCAAATTTAATTTTGCGAGGAACGAGGTAACGTACAATAACATGAAGCAACCTGTCCCAGGCAAGCTAGTAAGAAAGAGAGAGGTAAACAATTAAAGCAAAGAAAACTGGTTGTAAAGTTAAAAAATATATAACGGCATAAAACATTATCTTAAACAAAATATATAGAGACTGATGTACACAGATAGAAAGGCACAAGAAGATAAGTACATGAGAGAGTTAATTTAGTATACGTATATTCAATTTAATTCTTCAAATTTATTTTAGTGAGGAATAATGTAATGTACAAAATACAAAATATCATTGGTTAAAACTCAAATTCCGATGAATTCTTAACCAAATATCAGCTGGGTAAATTGGAATGTAAATTGTTGTACTGATTAAAATTTACAGATTGATAAGAACTAAAAAAAGAAAACAGAAAGGATGAAAACAGTGGTCATCGATAGCTAAATGGACATTTAAGGTACCAAAAAGATAAAAATTTATAAATGTTGATATAAACTGCTCAAAAATGAATAGGGATAATGCCAATTTCGTAGTATTTACTTTCCCTCGCTTTTTCATTTTATTTGTATTATAAATTGCATTAAAATTGATTAGAAATTATTATGTTTTTACTGAAGGAAAATTTAATTAAGGATTTTGAAAAAGCACAAAACAAAAGGTTTTAATTCCATAATTTTGTTTATTGGACACAATAATTTTTTAAACAATTAATATCGTGCATAATGTCTTCTGTTAGCTAAAACCTATGTGCACCTCTTAGGCATCATGTTAATAAAGTTGTCACTAATCTCACAAGGAATATCCTTCCATAGATGCTGCACTCAGTTGCTGCAGGTCAACTGGGTGCGGATGGTGATCTAAAAGCCTTCTGTGCAACGCATGTGCTCAATGAGATTGAGGTGTGGAGACGGTGGGAAGGGTAGATGGGAAATTCCAAGGTTTTATAAATTTTGAAGAACAATTCTGCCTCTATGAGGTCTGGCATTATCATCCAGAAATTGAAAAATCCATGTCAATGCCCCTGGTTTGAGGGATGTAAACCTCGATAATTTCTTGTACATATCGGACTGCGGAGAAGTTGCCTTCAACAATATGAAGTCCAGTTCGTCCTCCGGTGTAAATCCCCCTGACCGCCTTCTCCAAATTGCACTGAAGGGAGCACGAAACGGGCATTGTACGCATCCCCTGTTGTCCGTAGACTCTACGGCGCCTGCTATCACTGTACAGACTCATTAAGCAAACATTAACAGCATTCCAATTGGTGTTGTCTTCTAAGCGCTCGCTGCACCATTTTCTCATGAGTTGCTGATGGCGGGCTGTTGCTGTAGGTTCCAGCCCTGACCGTCAAAGTGGCTTACATGGTCAACTTCCCACAAACTTGCCAAAACATCTTATATTTCATTTCGGATCTGGCGGGTACTATAGAAAGGATGCCGTCTTGCAGCAATGACACTATTTCCGTCCTTCTGTCACTTCCAGTCTCTCGTAACCGAGCTAAAAGGCCGGGAGACCTCGCCGTTAGAAACGCCAACTGCCTCTGCGATGTCCACTTAACAGTGATTTCGATAACTCATGCTCTCAATAATATTCCGAACTTCTGCTTCAAGATGGTGTCTTCCATGGTTAAATAGAATACAACTGGATTAAAAAAGGGAAAAGACGAGAAAATATGTTTGTTTACAAAATGGGTAATCTTCATGTTTACTATTCTTAAGTAAATCAGTCGTTAAAAATGAGGATTAACATTTGTTTGTTTTTGGTTTGTATTTTCTATTTTGTTGCATCCAAACAAGAAAATATCGATTACATTTAATAGAATAAGAATAAATTACAAATATCTCCATTCATTTTTGAGCAGGTCGACCAATCTAAGCAGCAGATTGGTAGAAATATGGTTTAATCAGCACCACAGATGTATACAGCACTGAATCTCAGTTTTCAAAATTTCCTTTGTTAATGTTCATGATATAACTTTTTGAGAGAGAGAGAGAGAGAGTGAGAGAGGGGAGGGGAGAGAGATGCTACGAGATAAAGGTTGAGTACAGTTGGATTGATAGGATACCTAGGATATACCCTTTAACAATTTTATGAAACTATATACTTTTTTATTTTTTCAAAAAAGAAAGGTGCAGTCAATATACAGCTGACGTCTGCTAGAGTTACAATTACAGCTTAAAGTTTTAAGGGACCCCTCTCAAATTAGAATTAAAAGGATTGCCAGTATAGAAGGCAATTGAATAGTTTCCCTGTCCGTCAAAAGAGCAGTTGTATCTGATTAACCGTCGTGCAAAGAGGGGGAGCCGAGGCAGAGCATATCTGCAATCCATAACGGCGCATTATGAAACCATAATCCACGGTGGGCTAACGCGGGTCGGAGGCGGCTACATTGTGTTCTAGGGGTTGAACAATGGAAGGGCCGGGGCCGCAATCCAAACAAACCCCGGCGACGTGTGACAATGGCCTTTGTCCGCCACCCCCGGCCGGCCGGCCATCCCCCCAATTCATTTGGAAAAATTGCCCCGCCCCGTCTTTAATCCCACGGCTTATCTTGCAACTGTTGAGCACGACGTCGCTGGAATAACAACGGCTCGGAAAGGAAGCGACTTTTGAAATTTCAAAGCCGGCACATGGTGAAAAAATATGCCACGTTGAATTTCGAATCGTAATATTTTTCTAAACACTTACTTTCCAAATTTTGTTACAATTATCTCACTTAGAAATTTGTCGGAAAAAAGCCATCCTCACCGTCCATCGTTATCGATCGACCCATGGATACCATCCCACCTGGAATGGTGGATTTTCTTCAGAAACCGACCTTTTTCTTACCTCTGAGTATGTTCGACATGTCTAGTCTAATGAAACAATGGTCTATTGTGCCATCGTGGCATTGTGGCACATGGCCATGCATTATTCAAGCTGGTACGAAAGAAATTTCTGCTCCACAATCGGATTCATGATTTGTATCTTAATGAAATCTAACTCATATATGAGAACTGCTTCTCGAAAACAAAAACACGCATTTCGTTTACATAATTGTCAAATTATCCAATTATTTTTTACATTTATGTTGAACGATTAATTCCGTGAGAGAGAGAGAGTGAGAGAGAGGGGGTAAACAGCCAGAATAAAACAGGTAAGGGTGCTTTAAACACAGCCCAAACAGAGAAGATATAAAAATACATAAGGAAAAGTTAATTTAGGTTAAAAACTTAAGAGTTAAAAAATATACAGTTATACACACCGCGACCACTATTGACCTACAGTGCAATATCCATCATTGTTTAGTCTCTTCGTTATGCGTAAGGCTTTTTTTTCAGATCCCAAGCTTGGTTTAATAGTTTCGTGAATATACTAATAATCCAGGCTAAAACGCCTCCCAGGAACTGTATCAGGAGTAGGATTATCAGCAAGCATCACACACAAAGGACATTCTACGTTATTTGCTGTTTTTCATGGCAGTTCCTGCAGAGGCTTGTTTCTGGTGTCCCATGTGCACATATGCCTCCAGAGTGTGCAGTGTCCAGTCAGTAGTCCTAATATCTTTCTAGTTTTACCAAGTTTGAGGCTTAGCAGTTCTGTTGTTAGTTTCTGCGATGATTGATGATATTTTTGGCATGCCTCTGTCCTGGTAGAATACAGTCCCATTGTTCTGCAGATCCATAATTGTGTTGTATGCGAAACAAAGTTCTGAGATGAAAGACTCAACTTTCCTGGTCATTGCCCCGAGTTCTTCTGACATTAAAGGCCCTTGTGACCAAACATGGGTCACTTTGTACAGTATCGGCCAGGACTTTAATGCAGTTTCAAACGTCTGTGGACTTTACGATGAGGTATATATAGTGCCGTCTGGCTGTCCGGCTAGATGGTTATTCTTTTTTTACCAATACTGCTACTTTTTATCTCCATGGCACAGGACTCACAACAAAAATATCCACCTGAAAGATGAAAAAATGAAATGCATATATGAAGGCCTTCCTTTGGCACATTTCCATAGACAAGATGCTGACCTGTCATACTCTATCATCTGTATACTAGATTTTTTTTATTTGAAATTTTATATCGAGTCTTAATTTTAGAATCGTGCTGTGACCGGCCTGTGAATTGTGGCTCCGACCAATCCCTGAACGTAATGTAATTGTGGAGGATTATGGAGGACTTCTATGGACAGTTTTTGAATTCAGACTGAAGAGAAGAACAAAAATGAAAGAGGTAATGAAGATAGTGGTTAATACAAGGCATAGTAATTACGTTAAATATTGATAAGAAGACAGAAAGAATGTGTACAGTCTGAAACAAACAGGAAAAACGAGAAAAAGAAAGACTGACTAAGGGATAAAGAGGTAAGCATAATGAAAGTGGCTGTGAGAAAGAGGTAATAAAAGTAAAGTTCTCTCTTTTATTACACTTAACCTTTTATCACTTACCCACTCTCTCTTTTACGGGTTTTTCTCATTTGTTCATTTAGAGAGAGAAAGAGAGAGAGGAGAGAGAGAGAGAGAGAGAGAGAGAGAGAGAGAGAGAGAGAGAGAGAGAGAAGTAAAGAGAAATAATTCCGACCGGAAAGATCAAAAAGGTGGTTGTGAAAAAGTTTTTTAGGTTTTCTTATGATTCTTCCTTCTTGAAGGTGGGATAATAGGTCATCTTTTAGGTTTATAAAATTATCAATATTTTATCTCATTGATGATTTATTAACTAAGTTTAGCCAATCAAAATTAGGTTTTCGAGAAAAGATGTCCATTTTTAACTTTTTACATTTGTTTCTGACTAAATCGAGTCATGTTTGTACATGTCTTCATTTCTTTAAACATAAAAAAATATGATAAATTTAAAGCGAAGATAACATAAAGTTTGAAAAACTGGTTATCGATTTGGGCCGAAGATTGCCCTATTTGGAGTTTATGACGCACTTAATTCAAATATCATATCTATTTTATTCAATAATTAATTATACAATGAGGTAACAGGTCAGGGGGCGGCGGTGACCACAACGCTTTAGGCGTTGACACGGCGCTCATCACTGTAAGGTAAAGGTCCCGGGTTCGAATGCAGGGCACATACTTACAAATGGGCTTTTTTTTCAATAACACCGGCACCCTGAGGGTTTATATGACCTCTGCTGTTGCGAACCCTCTTAAAAAAATGGGGTACCAAGGGAGAAAGAGGAAGGGCGTTTGTTGTTTATAAATTTATCAATATTTCATCTTTTTGATAATTTATTAACTTAGCTAATCAAGTTTAAATTTGCAGAAAGCTTTCCAAGTTTAACTTTTTAAATATGTTTTTGATTAATTTTTTATTTGTTTTCCAGATCCTCCGAAGGCCTTCTACTGAACGAGCTTTCCTTTCCGATCCAACCTTTTTAAAGCTACCGTCAATATTGATGTACGCTTGATCCAACGAAGCATAATATACCTCAAAATAGATGACCTGATAGGTATCGAGGATATTACAACTTTGGTCTAACATCTTTTAAATTTAATTGAATACAGAGAGAATTAAGATAGAGTTACAAATGTAGATGAAAAATGTGATTTACATATACAAAAAATTTATGTTGTTAACAGTTGCAAAACTTGCGGTGAACAATGAACGCAGAATAAAATATAAAACTGATAAGGCATATCCACTATTTTCATTTTTTGTCAGTTTCGCCATTTTGAAAATTTCCGATATACTACAAAACACATCAGGATTGTTCCGTTATTTGGCAAATCTTTTTGTATGTCTGAAAGTATTTCCTGATTCGACTATCATCATCCTGCCTCCGAATCATTAATCATTAAGAGAGGGGACGTATGCATCACGGAACAATACTCAGAGATGACTTCCATTTTCCAGGAAATCGTCGAAGACAAAACCGTCGAGTCAGCCTGATTCCTGGCGCGGAATGACTGCGATGAAAAATTTTTCCCAGTCACCGGGGTCGGTTGATTAATTCCGTTTTGATGGGTCTAGGGCACGTGGGCCCGCATCAAAAGCACATTAACCTACGTGAGTCGTCTGCGCCGCGATCCCTGCGACGGAGCGTTAGGGCCGTTTAAACGCGGAGGCACGTGGGCCCAGGGGTGATTTTTCAGTTGACGGAGCACGAGGGGTGCAGAACGGCAGAAAAGGCCTATTGTGGAACGATCCGTCCACCCTTCTGTCTAGTTACTGTCAACTGGGTCATACACCCCCTACAGAACCGCTCTTAAATCTTTATCAAAATACGACTCTAAACAGACATAATAGCTAACACATTTTTCCACTTTTACAAATCAAACAATAATATTTTTTTTAAATTTATATAGCAACAATTCTGCCCATACTTGTCCTTTCTAGATGGCCCGGCTAAATTTCTCATGAAACAACGAGGCCAATCAAAACAAGTTTTAATATTTTTTTACACAGTGTATCTCGGGCCCAGTTCAACTTCAAAATTTCAAATACGACAATACATCCTGACACGTCAACTTAAAAGATCCCTTACGCTGAAAAAAAAAGGTGCAATCAGAATTCAAATTGGCCATAAAATGACAAAGTTACGGCAAAAAGTTTGAAAAAAAATTCATTTGGTTTGCTATTTATTAGTCGCATTTCATGTTCGAACTGTCTGCCTTTCGTTAAGTCGCAAATACTTCCTCTTTTTAACCAATTTTCACAGGCACTCAGAGAGATAGAGCCGTGGAAATGGATTGCCAAGCTTTTTGCTATCCTTTGCTGAAGTTCTTCAACTGAGGTTGCTGGGTTATGATTGGCGTAAACACTGTTTTTTTTAAATGGCCCCACAGAAAATAGTAAAGTGGAGTTAAATCGGATGACCAAGGAGGACAACAAACCGGGCCATGAGGTCCTTTCCACCCATCCTGGAAGTGACGATTCACCGTCTCACCTGGAAAGAAGGCTGCGAGGCATCCATCAAGCTGGAAAATCAATCTTTGTCGTTGTTGCAGAGGAGTATCAACTAAAACCTTCGTTGGTAAAACCTCCCTCAAAAAATTGAGGAACTGCGATTGTCAACAACCGCGGGTCAAGATGACGCTTATATAATTGTTCAAAACTTTATCGTTTTTTTACGTGAATAATGAAATTTTTTTTTGATCCCAGCAACCAGAATTTATTATGAGAAAATGTAGCATATTTAAAATTAATAACGCTGGTTGTTCAAAATCTCGCCACTGGGCCACGAAATCATTAATAATTTGGATAAGTCAACAGACATCTTTACTTTGCGGAAAAACTTGCCAAGATGACGCTTATGTAATTGTTTGAGCAAAAAGTGATTGTTGTTTTATTACAATTAATTAAGGTTTTTTGTTGAGATAAAAAAGTCAATGGCCCGAGCGGGATTCGAACCCACGATCATCGGCTAGATTCGCCGCTACTCTACCACTTAAGCTATCACGACCTCGATCCACTCGGACACTTCCCATCTCAACCCCACCTTTTGAATTTTCCCTCCTTTTTGCCATTTTTCAAATGTCGTGTAATCGGATTGGATTCTCGGCGATAAATGAAATGATCACGGAGAGCTTTAGTGAAGTATACTTCATTTTAATTCATTAAATTCACTAATTTCGTGGTCCGCTTGACCAATTAATATATTACAATTAATTAAGGTGTTTTGTTGAGATAAAAAAGTCTGTGTCACGAGCGGGATTCGAACCCACGACCTTCGGCTCAATACGCCGCTGCTCTACCACTTAAGCTAACACGACCTCGATCCACTCGGACACTTCCCATTTTTCAACTGTTGTGTGATCGGATTGGATTTTCGGCGACAAATGAAATGGCCACGGAGAGCTTTAGTGAAGTATACTTCATTTTAATTCATTAAATTCACTAATTTCGTGGTCCGCTTGATCAATTAATTAAGGTTTTTAGTTGAGATAAAAAACCTTACTTAATTGTAATTAATAATTAAGTTAAAAAAATCAAGTTAGGTTTTGACAAACCTGTCCAGTTTGAACTTCTTAATTTTGGTATTGTTTAAATTTAGCTATGTTGGTATGCAACATTTTTTTAATTATCTTAAATATACGAAGAAAACGTGAAAATTTTATTGTATTTTAGAGTAGCCGACCTAAATGATATTACTGTTAAACTGGTTGTTATTAGAGGCATAAAGGTCATAAAGCAGTTTGTTAAATAAAATACTACAACGTAATGTTTCGTGATATTTTACAAATTATTTTTGTACCTGTTTGGAGTACATCACGAATAATAGCGATCAATATTCTGAAAGACGGGAGGGTGAGAAATATTTAAAAATTCCCACCTTGTCATCACTCCTGTAAGTTATTCCGAAATGAAAGAAATCCAGAGAAGTTGGAGTTGGAAAAGATGAATAAGAAGGTGGCGCTAATCAAGGCCTCTCTTTTACGAGGAAGGAGAATAATAATGGGGCAATCTTATATGCAGCAAATGTGTTTAATATAGTAAATGGAAAAAAATTCTCGGGGGAGGCCTCAAAGAAGTTTTTTTCACTTTGATCATCAAAGATTTTTCCTCCAGACTCGCCCTGATGAATTAGTATTCATACCTTTGCCGGAGGCGGTGAATTTTGATGCGACCCACCCGCTGACGGCCGCTTAAACTTTTTTCATTAATCCCTACGTGGAAAGTGAAAACAATCTTGGTTGTCAGCGGTTTTTATTAGGGCCGGGTTTGCCCTTAATGGCATTTCGTCTAAAATTTACCCCTTTGCAATTTTGAGGAGTGATGCATTTAAAACAATGAAATTTTTGTGTAAAATAACAAACTTTTCGAATATCGAAGTGGGTCAGCAGTTGACCAAAACTTATCATGATGAGTATTTATTACTTGAAATATTCTCAAGTCTATTTTCCCATAAGAAAATACACCACTATATTCCAAGCTGAAATTCAGGCAATCGAAAGAAAAACTAGAACATAGCTATCATGTCAGATAGTCAAGCAGCCATCAAAGCACTAAGCTTAAATTCATTAGTTCAAAGATGGTGTTGCACTGCAAATCCAAATTAAACATATTAGGTACACAGAACAAAGTCAGCCTCTGCTGGGTCCCAGGACACGTGAGATTGGAGGGCAATGAGAAAGAGGACAGCTTTGCAAGGCAAGGAGCTGCTACACCGCTGACAGGACCCGATCCCTTCTATGGCATAGGAACCCACACTATTAACGAATATCTCAGACAGAAGGACAAAAAGAAGATGAAGGAACTATGGACTTGGACACTCATTGTACACAGACAATCCAAGAATCTCCTAACCAATTTTGGAAGAAAAGAAATTACACAATGTGTCAAGGGAAGCAGGAACAAACTCCAAATCCTAATAGGATTCCTAACACTGCAAGTTAAATGGACACTTAAAGAAGATAGGAATAATCCAAGATGGCACATGCAGATTCTGCAAACAGGCAGAATAGACACCACACATCTACTTGCTGGCTTAGGAATCAGGAAAATTGGATCATATAAGGCAAATAACACTCAATAATACTGTGATACTTAGGGGCGCAGGTGGCCGCGACGTTTTAGGCGTTGACACGGCGCCCATTACTGTAAGATTACGGTCCCGGGTTCGAATGCAGCGGCCCTGCATGAAACTCTGACTAAAACACTGACGTTTAAGAAATAGATTGGCTCCACCATCATGAAGGCGACACGAGTTTTGATGGTGTGCAGAAGAATAGCAGGAAGGAACTGGGAATGCAGACCGGAAATCCTGCTATGGATGTACACCATGATAGCAAGACCGAAACTTTAGCCTGGGCTGATAAAGCAGAACAAGTAACTAAAAGAAAAGAACTCACAAAAATACAGAGACTTACAGGCATCTGCATGACGGCAGCAATGAGTCCTACAATTAGCATGGAAAAAGTACTCGGATTAATCCCCCTACACCACATAGTAATAAGGAAGAAAACCATTATTAATTTTACCAAAGAGAAACCTCCAACAGGAATAAAACTAAAATGGAGAGATAGCAACAAACTGTGGAAAGACCATCCGATACTCATGGCCCCAAGAGACATGACCAGGATGTTTGAATTTAACCAAAACTTTCAAATAAACCTAGGTACCAAAAAAGAATGGGAACGAGAGGGACACCTCTTTTAAGAATGGGCACCCTCCTTTGGTACACAGATGGATGTAGAACACAAGAAGGTACAGAAGCAAGAGTTTTTGGACCTGGAACCAAATACTCAGAGCCCATGGGAAAATACACCAGTATCTTCCAAGCTGAGACTCATGCAATCGAAAGATGTGCCCAACTCAACCTAAGTAAAGGGTACAAAAACAAGTATATAGCTATCATGTCAGATAGCCAAGCAGCCATCAAAGCACTAAGCTCAAATATCATTAGTTCAAGGATGGTGCTGAACTGCAAAACCAAACTAAACATATTAGGCATGCAAAACAAAGTCAGCCTCTGCTGGGTCCCAGGACACATGGGAGTAGAAGGCAACGAGAAAGCGGACACCCTTGCAAGGAAAGGAGCTGCTACAACGCTGATAGGACCCGAACCCTTCTGTGGCATCGGAACCCACACTATCATTGAGTATCTCAGACAGGAGGACAAAAAGAAGATGAATGAACAATGGAATTCACTCATTGGACACAGGCAATCCAAGAATCTCCTAACAAATTTCGGAA